TGCACGATGGAAATAAAATAATACCATTTACAAATAATAGACACTTGCGTGCACTGGTTTTCCTAGTTGCCGCGAACATCCCCCGCATGATTCACGCGACATTTGTACTCTGCACATTATCATACCTCCTTTGTCAACAATTTTACTTCGCAAACAAATCTAGCTGTAGTTACTTGTACATTATTAGTCAGACTGTCCTTGAATAAACCGAGCGACAGAAAGTGTATCTTTATTAATGAGTGAGTTCATTGATTTCCCTTATTTAAAATGTATTACGGAAAATAGGGAATTCGAGCGACTGGATTGGAAAATGAATATTGTATAAGATATCCTAAAGAATAACTACGGTGAAAATCCCTGATAATTAGAATTTCCATAGAGTGAAGAAACTCGTGAATAAATGAGATACGCGATGCATTAATGAATAGCCTATATCATTAATGATTTCAAATGTTAGGTAGAAGAACGGTATAAATGGTATTAAAAGAAAGTAATGGGAGCGCCATTTATTTTCTAGAAAGAGAGAGTAACGAACACGTGGGCATGCGGGCATCATTAACGCCAACCTTAACCACCCCCCCATGTGTGTCTTATGGCCGATCCTCATCCTCCGCGAGGTTTATTAACCATTTGCGGCGGGTTGACCTCTCGCTATCCAATAACTGGTCACCGGCCACGCCGCGGTCGTTCCTTTTTATCGTTCCCCGGATAAGGCCAGGTGTGTCGCCTTTATTTGCACTGCCGCGGCGCCGGTCACGTACGTCGATCCGTTCTGACGCTCTCGGGACGCAAGCGTCCGCTCCCGAGAAACTGTTGGCATTTTTATATATATTTTTTTTATTCCTTTTCCCATTTTTTTATTTTCACTCGTCACTACTACCGCCACGTCACCGCGCAGCGTCGCTGTCTCTCCATGGATATGCATTGTCACGTTGTATATTTGATACACGCAAAAGTGGCGGTGTGTCGCTTCAACGAAGTTTTTTTTTTAACAGGAAATCACCACGATGCTTGTCGCTGGTTATTTTGTCGTTGTTGTTGTTATTGCATTGTTATTGTGACGAAACTGCGAACATGTGGCTGATGTTCCTCTAATGTTCCACGTTTGACGTCTTTCGAACGTAGTTCCCTTAGTGTAAAACGAAAAGTAAAAATTGTTCTGTTGAGGCTTGGAAATTTTCTTCCACAGATTCAAAGGGTTTTATCTATGTGTAATGTCGCTACGCATTCCTTTTTCTCTTTGATTTGTGAAAAATGAATATAAGAGGGAAAGAATCTCAGATAACGAAGATATCTAAAAAATTGTATGTATCAGCATCCTTTCATATTCAAATGCAGCAGGAGCCCCCCAAAGGACAATGCGATGACCCTCGCGTGTACGAATTATCTCGAAAAACGGTTGAGACTATCCTTCTAGTGAAGCATTCAGAATCGTTCCCATCCGACTGGACCAACGAATATTTCGCGGAACGAGTTTCTTCTGAATGGACCACCACGACGCGACGGTTGCACGCGACTCGTTTTAGGACGGAACTAGTTTCCTTGTCGCTGGACCGCCACGAGGGATGCTGCGCGAGCTCAACAGATCGGTAACACGAACCGTCAGATCAGAACGATCCAGTTTTTTGGAATGAACCAGATGAACCGGTGCGGACCCCACCTGGTCTGAGAGGACCCCCAGCCGTCATTCAGGTTTTCCATTCGGCCAGGAAGTTCCTTTGATATTCAGATTCGGCAGAGATTCACGTGGTCCTCGCGATCGGCTTTGGGGGGTAGCCGCGTCTGCTTTCAGTCCACCGCGGTCGGTTTGTAACGCGCGTCAACGCGAGTCCGCGGCAAAGAGATGAGACGCGGCACGATGGAGACATTTCCGAGGCCGGAGATACAGAAAGGGACTCGCGAGACCGATCTCTTTGAGGACACCGTTACAAAGAGTCCACCGGGCTGATGTGTGCAAGGAACTGTATCGCCGGCTGCGATCCTCTCGCTTGCTTTTTCCAAGGATGGACCTCGTCGCTTCTAGATAAGTACGTGTTCCCTTTCTAACTATGAGAGTCGTGATAGCATCCTCCGCGTTAGGAAACGAACGGGACTGTTAACAATCAATATAATCACGTGGGGATCATCATCATATTTTTTATTCGTTCATTAATTTCTACGATATTTCGTTTCTATGACAAAATAGCTGAAACGGCTGGACAATATTTATCCAGTTGTTTTTAAACTGTCAGTTACTCAATATAATCAGCGCGAATTAATTGGTAATTACGTGCAACACACGAAGTGCTCGATCAATCGCGTGAATCACAGTAATTAATAAACTTCGCGATTTTCATTCTAGCTGGTGTTTTAAGTAATTTATGTCGCCATAATTCCGCGTTTTACCGTTCACCTAATGCCGGAACATTCGATTAAAATTTCATCAAATAATATTTCCCGATACGAAAAAGCCATCAACAGCGTGATCCGGTATCCGAATTTAAACAAGCCAGTCGGTTTGAAGGTTTATCGAATTCTTCGATCTCTGCTTTCCCCGTTCTATCAACCACCCCGCCCCCTCCGCCCGTCCCCCTCGCTCCTTCGTTTTTTTTTCTACTTCTTTTATTTCGTCACCCACGCCGAGCGGTCTCGCTCGCGTTCTTTTTGCTCCGTTCGTCGAGATTGCTTTAAAGCTGCTTTCACCGGCATTCTTGCAACCTGCCGTCTCTCTTCGTCCTCCTCTCGCTCTCGTCCTTTCTGCCTTCTTCTTTTTCTGCGAGCAACGCGCACCCGGTCTTTCCTCCTCTTTTTTGCCCCGACAAATCGCTCAGAATTACCCCGACGCGACGTAACGGAATTAACTCGCGATTTACCGATTTATTAACAGCACGCTCTCTCCTTTAACGTTTCACCCGTGTACCTGTCGGTTTAACTCTTCTCGCTTTCGTTTTGCGACTCAGCTCCGGCTGTCGATTTATCGCAAAAGATTGTTCATCACCGTACAAAGTAATTGATACGAAACTTAACGAATTCAGATCTTCAGTTGCATTAGCATTATACATTCTCTTCATGTACATAGTTATAAATTAGATGATAGAATTATTTTGAAAAAATTAAGTATTTCACATATTCTTTTTGTAGTTGTATTCAGAGAAATCTTAATGTCATCAATCAATTGATTTTATAATAAAGAAGACAGTGACAAACAATATGTAAATATTAATAAAGAGTTGCATTTATGGATTCTATAATCAATAGTCAACCTCATTGTTTCTGTTGCGTTAAAATATTCACGAGGAATTTCATGAAAATACCGAATTATTATCTATTAACACGAGTGTATTAAAAACGGCAAGGTTTCTACCTAAGTGCGACGCAGTCTGGCGCGTTTTAAAACGGCCTTGACCGAATGATACTGAAAAGAAGCTAAACTTGAAAGCTCGCCGCGGCGAGCGAAATGAACATATAACGGAACAAGGGTAACCCGGTTGGCATTCTTGGAAGCCGGGCTAAAACCCGTTGTTCAGCCGGTGCTCCGAGCGCGAATTGCAACTAAACTAAACCACGTTTTATCCACCCCCGCGACCGGTCGCGGCCATTCTCCACCGCCCGCTTCGTTCCCCGTCCCCGCGTACATCGTCCTCTACCCTCGACACCGAGTCTCCCGCGGGAGAGCGGTTAAAACAAATGAGCGGGCAGCGGCAGCCTTAAATTAGCGCCGGCAAGGGTGGTTTTCACTTCCACCCTTAAATTAGAACTAAGCCCGCTGCCTTCAAGTTCCGCAGTTCTGATCGGACAAGTTAAGAGTCACGTGGATTAACCGCCCGCCTTCCTTGCCAATGATCCTTGTTACAATATCGTAGGATTAGACTGTCAAGGACAGTGCTTGATTCTTTTAGGTAAAACGATCATTTGTTTATTTGTCACAAGAGTTGGCATATGATAGAATTTCCTTGTCCTTGATATTCACATACTTCAACGTGAAGACAATTTCTTGGAGTTTAATCTCTCAGTGCGTATTAACAATGGAATGAAGAGTACCAAGCTGGAAAAAGAATCCATTTCCGCGGAGCGTTTAAACTTTGCGGAGTAAGATCTTATCCCGGGGAAAAAGAACGGTTACGAAGGAAGCGAGAACCGAGCCGTGATGGTTAATCACTCACGAGAACGTGAAAAATGAATCCTATTAAAAGCCACGAAAGATCCTCCGCAATATTCTGCCTCGAGGAGATTAAATTCTTTTCTCCCCGTGTTCTTGCTCACCGACCCTTCGCTTCTCCTTCCGGACGACTCTCTCGTTCCCGGCGCGCTTTTTCAACGAAGATATTCCTCCGGACACGGACGTAATAGCGTTCTTACTCGATTGTCTTCGCCACGTTCGTTTTACCCCCCCGATCATGGATCTAATTGCTCTCATCTCGTCTCGGTTCTCCATCGGATGGAAACTCGAGACGAGGGCTGCGAGGCGAACCGTGCTGGCCGGTCGAGCCAGTTAGAACTCCGCGCAGGATGTCAGCGAAAAACAGCACGGGAGGCGGCGGATTAGAACGGGGTAGGGGGAACAGGGCGCGAAATCAGTCGCGGAATCGCGCTTAATCCAATAGCGGTCCTTAATAATCGAATAAAGCCGGGTCCGAGAATCGCGTCTAAGCAGACGCTTTCTGTGGGGTGGGTCGCCGCGTACCGGCCCGGGCGAGGAGGGAAGGTGACGCCGCCGTTCTAGCATAGGAAATCTAGTCTCTCCCACACCCTGGAGAATACCATTTCCCGGAACTCACTTGGTGTACGTCGCGCGGCTCGGTCGCGGCCATGTTGCCAGAATTGCCACCACCTACCCCCTTTCTCCCTCTTAATATCCCACCGCCTAGTCATCTAGTCCTGCCGGGTCCGCTATGTAAATGTGAACCAACTCGACCCTCCCTCTTCGTCGACCCCCATATACCCTCGCCCCTCTTCTATCCCTTCGACTCGTTTACGACATTTTAAATATTAAAGAATATAATCTTTATTTAGAGTAAAAAATAAATGTCTTTCTTTTTCTATAGATTGCTCTTAAATATGAATATAACTTAATATATTATTAATAAAATTAACTTCTACCTTTAGCAAACGGTGCTTTGGAAAGCGTGTTTAAATAATAATTGCCTGTGACATTAAATTTAGGCGTAACACCTCCCATAATTGCAGTACCATTCAATTCGCACTTGTCGACCTGAAAATCTTTGTAACTTCCACACTTCCTACCTACGAAACCTAGATCACTGTTGATGGATTCCGCGTAATACTCATACGCGCGGGAATGCGAACACGAGCCTTCGATATCGACGCCCGCGATGCCGCATCCGTTTTGTTGGAACCCACCGTTTGGATAGAAGTCAACGTCACCGATAGAATAAGTATAACCAAGCAGACCAGCGTTTGTGTGTATTACCTCTACGTACTTGGCGTCACCGCGGGATACTCGATTGCCAGGGCTAACGAAAAGAAAATTGGGTCGCGCTGGATCCAAGGCTACGAAAGAACGAGATAGCTTTACTGTTCCAAAATTTCGTCCCTTGAATTACAATGCAATTTGATACATCAGAATATAACGAAAGTGAATTATATTAACACATTGAATTGTATTTAATGGTTGAATGCCTTGGAAGAGTTATTATACGAAAAATGCAGGATACGTGAAATGATGGGAACGTGAATTAGTGAAGCGAATGATGCATTATTAATAATGGTCCATTGGTGCATGTGCACTCACCGATTACGTAATTAACATTGCTCTTTGCGTAGCGAGCTGACAGTCCGGCCACGTGGCCGCCCAGGGAATGGCCAACGATAGTCACATTAGACGGTTTCATTCCTCGCGTCACTAGGAAATCGATCATTTTGGAAACATATTGAGCGACCATTAAGACCCGACTGGCAGACCATTGATATGACTTGTTCGATATCGCGCTCCAGTCGATCAAAATCACGTTGTAATCACCATGTTGAAGGAACGCTTCGAGAAAACACGTCTTGTTGAATTGTCTTGAATCATTACAAGTGTTTCTTATGGTATATCAATGCGTACCATCACGAATCAATAGGCAAGCGTCGACGTTGCAAGAACTGAACCATCCGTGAGTGATAAATTTCGTTTCCTTATTTGGATCGAATTGGCTTTTTTCCAACGTGCCGACATCGTCTAAATACAATTGTTCAGAAGTGTTTTTGGCTCTTGTAGAAAGATGAAATAAAACACGTTCGTGTAAATTCTTCTCAGTTTCTTTCATGGTTTCCGGGTAATCCTTGCTTAGCACTGGATGACCGTCGTCGTCGAGCGTGTGCAAATCTTCGAAGAACTCGTCGGAACATTTTTTAATTGTCAAGTTTTCATTCCCTTTTGTACGATTATCTAATGCACCTACTGTTCAATTGTAATAGAATAAAGAAAAAATAGTTAATTCGTACTATGAAAGTATATCATGCATTACTTTCATTCCTATAAAAATAAAATTAACTTTTTACCAGTAACAGTGCAGACGAGTAAGAAACCGATTGCTGTGTGCATCTTTACACTGATTTGATCTTACTGATTGCAATCGTTTTATCGTTGGACGTAGAATACGTAATCAATTGAAAGACTAACTGTTACGCAATGTCACTGCTAGTTGACTTCAAAGCCTGGATTCATAAATCGGAACATTACCACAAAGTATAAGAAATAGCAGTAGGTTCACTCTGTCAAAAAGTCTACTAATAAATAAAGAAGTACGAAATTTTTTTCTTCAAAATTTCGAAAAACGCTTCAAATAAAAATTGTAGATCCTAATGTCTTTTACAAAAAAGATTCCATGCATTTTTTTTCTAATTCCAGTATTTAACGAGTTTCTTATACTGTGGCATTATTATCTTCGTTTCATTGACAATTTTAATATCCTCAATAAAATTGTCATTATAAAATTGACTCATAACATTATTTTCAACGTTTAGCACGAAACATGGCCGATATAAAGCTTTTATAATTTCCCTACTTCTTTTCCAATTACGTATTATTACTGAGAACAGAGAATGGCCGATTCATTCGTGCATCTCTAAGCGGACTATCCTCTTGGCAATCGAGCGAGGGGGTAGCGACTCATTACGGGCAAAGAAGTAACAGGAATTCCCAGATTGCTAGCAAGCCAGAGCAGCTCTCTCGAGCCCGGGTATACATATACCCCCCGGGCAATGTCGTCGTCATCGCCGTCGTCGTCTACTTCGTCTACGTTTACGTTCGACGATGCCTCTCGTCCGGACGAGGCGCGCACACAGAGAGTGTTGCCCGGGGAAGGGCGCCATTACCCCACGGCAGCAAGTTCTAAGCGTGCTAAATAATGGCCGCTAGAAATTCAACGGGGGGTCGAAATGCCCGTATGGCGGTACGAGTATTCCGCGGGACGTGTGTGCACGTTCGTGTATATTCTAACATACGCCCCGTTTCCATCCCCGTAAACCATACTTAAGCGGCCGGTCTCCTGCGCCGAAAAGGCCACGTATACATACGTACAGTACGTACAAGTGTACGTGTGTGTACAGGCGCGTAGGAGTGAGTATTAATTTAGGCACGTAGTCCTTTACCGGGTGAGCTAAGAAAAATGCATGTACGTCGTGGGGGAGCTAGCTGGCCCGTTAGAATTTAATCTCACGTCATAGGAGGGCCGCTCTGCTCATCGACGCGTGCATGTGAGAGTCGAGCGTACGTGGCCACCCCTATACGCGGACGCCCGGCACGGTTCGGCGGCCCCAATGTCGACCGGAAGGCCGACGAAAGGGCCACGTAAGAAAAATACCCGACAGAGACGGATGTGAACGGACCCTCGTACGAAAGTGGAAGATAGGTGAACCTGAAGGAGGGTGGGATCACGGGAGTGACCGGGAATGCTTTGAAATCACTTATATCCCGTTCCTAGTTACTCCTGAATAAGCGATAGAGACGTGTACATACATGTGTGCTCACAGAGCGAAAGAATGTAATTACGCTAAGTGTGATTAAGATTAATTGACGCCTGAAAGTGTGAGGACGGAGGAGGAGGATCTTAGGATCGAGGAGATCTAACAGAGAATCGTTCTCATTCTTGCTCGAGTGTTTCGATCGCTTTGCCGGTAATTGTATAAACACGATATTGCATCCTATCATTCAATAGTGAACAAGATTAATCGATCATCAAGAACAGTGTTTGATCGCCTAGACAGTATTAAATTATTTCAATGAACTGAACAGTTTTCCACTGATGTATTTTTATGATCGTATGAAAAGGTTGAAAGAAAATGAGTGAAAATCCCACTTTCATCTCTGTAAGGATCAAACTCTCCCGGTCGGTTAACGCATTATCGCGAAGGAAAAGAAGAGGGTAATGGAAAAAAAAGTCCTAAATCCTTTCCTTTGTCGCTGGTCGGTTGGCCGCGAAAAAAGAGAACGCGATCAAAAGGTAGAGCGCAAACAGAAGGAAAAACCGATGGCGGGACGCGGCAGGACGACGGCGCGAGCGAAGAAATGGAAGGGCCGCCGGCCGAAAGAAAAGTGGTCGTAAGGAAAGGAGAAAACTCGCGAGGAGAAGAGGGGCGAGGTGGAGCGTCGAGAAAGTTACGGCGGGCGAGCATTGTCGGTGCGGTCTTCGGGCGTTACACAAACACAATGAGACTAGGTTGAGCGTGGGTTTAAGCGACTTGTGTGTTGGTTAGCTGCTTGTGAATCCGGGTAGGTCCATCCGACTAGGAGAAGAGAAAAGGGGGGTACACGAAGAGGTGGCGTGTGATGTGGAAGAGGACCAGCGAGCGAAGGGGGTGTATATGTGTAGAACATTGAGGGGGCGAGAAAGAGACCTGGAGGACGAGGACGGCGCGGCGCGGCGTAGCCTGGCGGTGGCCGATGGTCGGGGGGTTGTCCCTTGCTAAGCCAGCGTTAAGGGTGGCTTGGAATAGGTACGTAGAGCTTACGGGAAGGTGGAAGAGACGAGAAATCCGCGGAACAGAGACGGACAGAGACGCGGGGAAGCGAGAGAGTGACAATATCGTGCGCCGTATGCGCGTTTGTAAAGCGTTTGGTGGGAAAGAGCAAGGTAGAAAGCAGATAGGAACTAGAAACGGAGGACAGAGGGACGGAGAGGGGAAGAGGAGCGGTGGGACGGTCAGGTATAGATGAACAGAGGGAGGAACAGATAGAAAGAGAGATACTCGTGGTAGGTAGAACGTAGGAAGAGAAACCGGAGGTGGCGAGTGCGGAGAAGGAAGAGGAGGAGAACGGGTAAGCAGAGTGTGTAGGTTGGCAGTCTTACAGATCAATAAAGCTAACCACCCTCACCCTCCCACCCCCACACTCCTTCCTCAGACCTATCCTCTTTGAATCACCCACCTGACCACCTTCCACCTTCTCCACCCTCGAGCCGCTGCCTCAAGAACAAACCCCAATATGTCTGACAACAATGCCCGTCCGATGGATTAGACGCTTCCGTCCGACGCGTATAAACACCCACACTTGTACGAGCGGCGAGTGTACACGCGTGCACGCACAGTGTTTCGACCAACGCAATTCATCTTTCAAACGAATACTTGGTCACGTTAGTGGATATTCGACGCGGACTCTGGATACATACGTATACGTGTACATTTACTCTGTACGTATACATATGCATGGATGCTGGGGCGATCAAACATCGAGAGAGATACCTAAGCGCTTCATCCGACGCTCCGACGTTTCTCTCTGTCCGCCGTTTCTTTTCTTCGACACTTGTAGCCACGGGCTGCGGGAACCTAGCTACTAGCTACTGGCTATTAAATTCTCCGAAGGGGAATGAATATTCATCGGCCGATCTCCTCGTCGAGCTTTTGCTTTCATCGTCGTTAATTGACACTGATTCCTTGACGGACTTTTGGCACGACGCGGCACACGGGAAATTAGATTTAAATCGATCCGCGACGTAACCTCGTTGCGGTCATTTTTTATCCACCTACCGGAGTGGCAAGCCACGGCGGACACTTGGAGTCCCGGAAACCGACACACGACCGTTGTGTAATTATCTTGCGGCATCGTGATTGCCCGAAAGTCGAAATGGTAGATCTTAATTGCGATTATTTTTAATTTACAATTTCGTTCCTGACAGGAAATCCTTATCGAAATCTTATCAGTATGATCAGAGCATACGTAAGATTTTTACACCCATTAACGACGTGAATAATCATTTTATACTCGATTTGTATCTGGTTAAAACGCACGGTGATTCCTCTCCGTTATCGATAGTTATAGTACGTGAAAGAAAAAAAGGAACATCATATTTATTTAGTTCCATCGGAAAAAAAGTGAATGATGTGTATTCAATTCCACGGATTACATGTAACGCCCCGGAGCACGTGCATTCAAACAGGTGTACAGTATTTTTCTTCGTACGGAAAAGGCCAGCCACGTGCTCGAGGAAAAAAGGCAGAAAAGACATGTGCGTTAACTTAAATAAGCTTATCCCATTGTTTCTCAAACTCTTTTCCAGTAAAACCGAGTATTTAAAGAGACGGAGAGAACGGAGAAAAACCCGCGGCAACGTCTTGAGTAAAAGATTTTCCCTCAAAGAGATTTCTCGTGCGGCAGAAAAAAAAGTCGTTCACCCTTGGGTCGGTGTTTACCCTCGAGAGCGTAACAGAGAGGGAGAGTAATTGCTCGTACGACTTTTTTCCTCGGGACCAGTTTTCTCCGAAATTTTCTCCGAACCAACAAACCCTCGGCTCGTCGTAAAGCTCTCGAGGAATGAAACAAGCACACGTGGTCAGCGTGTTGGCCGAGAGGGAACGACCGGGATAGAACGGGACGGCCGGCTCTTACGTGTCCCCGTACGTGTGTAATCTTCCGTTGGCTGTGAGGGTGCCGCGTCGGGGAATGGGGAGCCAAAGTTCACGGACTGAGCGCCGGACAGGCACGCACCCACACAATCGAGGCAGGGAGAGACCGTTACGACCCCTTTCAGAATATTTTCTCGGTTCTTTCTTGCGGACCCTCACCCTAAGCAGGACAACGTTGGGGGTAGTAGCTTGAGGTCCTGGTAAGACCCCCACCAGTGATGCTCCTTATTGATCGTCCTCCGGCCCACCTACCCAAAAGGGGGCATACACCATGCTGGTGTGTGCTTTCTCCTTCTCCTTTATCCTCGCTTAGGTCCACCCTCACGGGCCACCCTCTCGCCTTTGTAGCCCACCTACCAAAAACCACCCTCGCTCTATTCCTCTACCTCGCGTTCTCACTCTGGCCGCTCGCTCGCCGTTAACTCACGTTCGCAAACGCGTTTCCTCGTCTCACGCGGTTCGAAGCAGTCTGTCTGTTTTTGTCGCACCGGGCTACCACTAGCCGGGTGGTGAACCATCGGAGCACAAAGAGCCTGCGTGATCCCCAGCGTCTGGGCACCGACGACGCCGAGAGAGTAGCGGATAGTCTCTAGCAGCAAGTATAGTTGCCCGAGCCGAGGAGGCTACCGGCGACGTCAATTTACCGGCAATTTCGTTCCCGGGGAAAATTGATTGCGGTCTAGAGAAATTCATAATTAACTAGACGTACCTGAACCGACGTCCTGGACCAGCGGAACGGTTCTACGGAAGCGGGTCCTTAAG